TTTTTTTAAGACAGAGTCTCACTCTGTCACCCTGGCTAGAGTGCCGTGGCATTAGCCCAGCTCACAGCAACCTCAAACTCTTGGGCTCAAGCAATCCTCCTGCCTCAGCCTCCCAAGTAGCTGGGAGTGCAGGCGTGTGCCACCATGCCCGGCTAATTTTTTCTATTTTTGGTAGAAATGGGGTCTTGCTCTTGTTCAGACTGGTCTCGAACTCCTGACCTCAAGTGATCTCCCGCCTTGGCCTCCCAGAGTGCTAGGATCACAGGCGTGAGCCAAGGTTCCCTGCTCAGTAGTTTTATTTTTAATTTTTTGAGTCTATCAATGGATGAATGGATAAAGAAAATGTGGTATAAATACATAATGGAATACCATTCAACTATAAAAAAGAAAGAAATTATGTCATTTGAGGCAACATGGATGAATCTAGAGGGCATTATGTATGAGTGTATGAAGCAAGCCAGTTATAGAAAGAGACATACTGATGATTCCTCTTATATAAGGCAGTAAAATTCATAGAATCAAAGAGTACAGTGACAGTCACCAGGGACTAAGGAGAGGGGGATGTGAGGTGTTACTAAACATCAGGCATAAATTTCACATGAGCAAGATGAATAAGCTCTAGAGCTCTGTTGTACAACGTTGCACCCATAGTCAACAATACTGTATTGTACCCTTAAAAATCTATTAAGAGGGTAGATCTCATGTTAATTACTATTACAAAACAAACAGTCCAATTAGAAAATGGGCAAAGGACATGAAGAGGCATTTCACTTAAGAAAATATACAGATGCCAAATAAACCCATGAAAAAATGTAAAACATGATCAGCCATTTTAGTAAATGGCTAATTTTAAACAAAATTTTACGTTCTATATTTTACACAATAAGCACTTTTAAATAATAGTTAATTAGGAGTGACATCAGTAAAAGTGGCAGAGCAGGTAGAGCTAAGGGCCTGTCCCTCTGCACAAACCAAGAAATTCAGCAAAAATTGTCAGAATCAACTTTGTTGGAACTCTGGAAAACAGTCAAAGGATTACAGCAATCAAGCAAAGGCTGAATCAAGAATAGGGTGATTTTATAATGACAGAAAAGCTTTGAAGATTTTACTTGCCCTTGCCCACCTCACCCCCTGGCTCAACAGTGGTCATGAAGATGGCAGTCTGTATTCCCAATGTGGGACCCTCCTCCCTAGTTTCAGAAAGAGTAGAGTAGACCTTTTTCTCAAAGAATTGTGCTTGTTTATCCCGACCTGACTGGGGGATACCTGATGGACTGACACAAAGTACTTGTCTTTGTTTTCATCTAAGAACTCACACATGTGAGCATTCTGTGAAAACATGGTAAAGCCTTTGAACAGTTGGGGCCCCCAGGGGCAAAAGATTACAGTTGAGGCAAACCATAGAGCGCTGAAAGTCTGGAAAGAAAAGCTCTAAGCTTTTCTTTGGGAAATTAAGCATTCAAAAACATCCCCGTATGTTGGAGAATTTGGAAAGCCATGTACGTGCCCAGGGCAGGACACATGGTCAAAAAGATTTGAAAATACCTTAAGCCTTCACCTCTGCTTGATTTCTATTTTAGTACAGTATAAGCTAGAATTTGTAAGACAGAGCTGTAAATGGCTTGGCTAAGCATTGAAAGTGTCATCCGTAGACTTAAGAGATTCTTCCTTCCTTCCTTCCTTCCTTCCTTCCTTCCTTCCTTCCTTCCTTCCTTTCTCCCTCCCTTCCTTCCTTCTTCCCTTCATTCCCCATCTGCCATCTACCCACTCCCCCTAGTTCTCTACACCAATAATGGTGTTTGCAGAGAGATTTAGAATATAATCGATCCAGGTAACAAACCAGTGGACAACTTGCCTGGATTCTAGTGAGACTGCTCAACCATTTCTCAAGCCCACAGATTCCTATAAAACCAGATAGCTTACTGCAACAGTTTTTAAAAGCCAATATTTATAAGCAGGTTAGCCTAATGTCGGACCCACTTATTGAAATAGTTTTATTGAGATATAATTCACATACAATTCAAACATTTAAAGTGTGCAATTCAATATTTTTAATATATTCACAGATATACACAAACATCACCACAATTTTAGAAATTTTAATCACCTTGAAAAATATCAAAACCTTGTACTCTTTAGTTATCACCTACTTATCCACTCGCACCTCCCATCCCAGCCCCTATTCTAAGGTCTGTTTCTGTAGATTTCCCTATTCTGGATATATCATATGAAAGATGTCATATAATATGTGATTTTTTGTGATCACATACTTCTTTCACTTAACATAATGCTTACAAGATTCCATGTTCATTGCTTTTATGGGTGAATAATATTGCGCTGTATGGATATAGATATTTTGCTTATTCAGACTTCCATTGATAGACACTATGATAGTTTCCACTTTTTGGCTATTATGAATAATATTGCTATAAGCATCTAGTGTACAAGTTTCTGTGTGGACATATATTTTCAGTCCTCTTGAGTATATATTTGAGAGTGGAATTGCTGGGTCATATAGTAATTCTTTGTTTAATCTTTTCAGGAACTGCTAGACTGTTTTCCAAAGTGGATGCACTACCTTTCATTTCAACCAGCAGTGCATGTGGGTTATGATTTCCTCATGTCTTCAACAAGGTGTAATTACCTGACTTTTTAATTCTAGTCAGTCTAGTGGATGTGAAGTGTTATCTCTTTGACGTTTTTATTTGCATTTGCCTGATGGCTAAAGATGTCCAGCATCTTTTCACGTGCTTGTTGGAATTTTTACATCTTCTTTAAAGAAATGTCTTTTTAGATCCTTTGCCCATTTTTTAATTGGGTTGTCTTTTTATTATTGAGTTATAAGAATTCTTTGTATATTCTAGATATAGTTCCTTATTAGATATATTGCAAATATTTTCTCCCATTCTATGTGCTGTCTTTCCACCTTTTTGAAGGTGAGAGCTACTCTTCACATCTGCCTCTGCAGCCCCTCAGGGGCCAACCTCCTGGCAGCCACTGCCTTTTTTGTTTCCAGACCCATAACCTGTAGTTATTATCTTCCAAAATGTTATTTTCATTTCTTACTCATTTTCCTTTTCTTCCCTGAACATTTTAAAAACTAGAGAAACCTGGCCTGGGAGGATAAAGTCTTTGTTTCTTAATTCAGAGTTCCTCACTCTCATTCGCTTTATAGTTTTGACAAGAAGATCCAGGTCTAAATTTACATTTTTTAAAAAATCGATATAATTATTGCTATGTTGCTTTCATAAAAATGGCTAATTTTGAATTATTCTTCAGTTTTTAGCTTAAAGATCATTTCCTCAAGAAGAGAACACATGTTTAGCTTATTACAAATTTCCATAATTATAATCAATTAATTATAACAAATTAAAAATTAATTGTAATTTTAATATCTATATCCTCAACTCTTTTAAAACACCCTAAGGGTGCGAACTAGACATGTCTGATTTTTTCATCACAGTTTTTAGCGCTTAACACTTTATCCGATATATAATAAGAGATAAATAAACGTGTTGAATTGAATAGATGGATGGATGGGTAGATATCTTTAAGATTGTAGGAATAAAAATACTTTGGGATCTTATTAGGAAGTTCTACAGAATTCAAAGTGTTCTTATAGTTAATATTTGATCCTTTACTCCTGGTAGATATTCAGATGCATAAATAATTCAATAATTCATAAAATTAGCTAATAATTAAATCCTCAGGTTTCTCATGTGCTAAATTTTATTATTTTTTATATATTTTTCATGTTTCAGGAAATGATAAGCTAGAATGAAATAAAGAAGTGGTCCAGTGAAAAAAGTTATTTTATTTCCTGCCACTGACTCAGCTTCTATGCTTGCATAGTTTATGCTGAGTATAGATATCAGGACCACTAAAACATGCACATAAAACTTGTCAGAACAAAATGCTACAAACTATACTCTTTTCACAAGTCTTCCCTCTGGCTGGTTTACTCTTTCCTTTGGGGAAAAGTACCTGGGAAGTATTTTTGTTTATTTATATTTTGCTAGGTATTGTTCTAAGACTAAAAGGAGTGATGAGAGGTCTGGGCAGAATAAAATAAATAAAAATATAAGTATAATTTTTTTTTACTATCACTTGTATGCCAGACACTGCATACTGTGGCTTACAAATCTTATTGCTGATCATCAAAACAATATTCAAGAAAACATTGTTATCAAATGATGGAATTAAGACTCAGAGAGGCTAAATTACTTTCCAAAGATTATGTAATTAACAAGTGACTGAATGAAATAGGATTTAAATCCAATATTATATGTGGTTTCAAAAAACACACTTTTCTGTGCTACACCAGTCTTTTCCACATAAAGTGATTATAAGTGGTACATTAAAAACCATTCATTACTTAATTTTATTTAACACATATTATTGTTTAGGACATGACTAAATATATTAAATTCAATCTAATATATTTGAAAAAATATAGGTAAGATCGATTTGACAAGTTCTAAGTGTAGTGCATTTAAAAACATCTGAGATTTGAGAATTGCTGCACTACATCATGTTGAGAGAAAGTGTACGTTTTCTAGTCTCTTGTCTCAAAGCTGAATGTGGTTCCAGCAGATAGCATAATGGTTGCTGTAACACTGAAAGTCAGGCAGCACTTTCCCAGGTAGAAAAGCACGGAATGTTTGGTGTGTCATCTCTAGTCACTGTTGATCCATAGGGCCCCAGTGTCCTTAGCCCCAGCCTCAGCCTGCCCCTAGTAGCTGCCCTGGCTCACCCTAGCACCCCTGTTCTCTTTAGCTGCCTCCTCATGGCCTCTTTGATATCCTTGTTGCGCAAGCTGTAGATGAAGGGGTTGAGGAAGGGTGTGAGCACCGAGTAGACCACTGCCAGGGCCCGGTCATAGTCCAACGAGTAGCTCTTCTTCAGCCGCACATACATGAAGAGGATGCTCCCATAGAAAATGAGAACCACGGTGAGGTGGGAGGCGCACGTGGAGAAGGCCTTCCTCTTGCCCATAGCTGAGGGGATCCTGAGCACTGTGCGGAGGATGTGCACATAGGAGCTGAGGATCAGCAGGAATGTGGCCAGGATCTTGCAGGAATTTACAACAAAATCCACTAGGACATTGATAGATGTATCAGTGCAAGCCAAGCTCAGCACAGGAGGGAAATCACAAAAGATGTGCTGAACGCGATTGGGGCCACAGAACGGGAGGCGCGAAACCAAGGAAATTTCAGCCACTGGCCCAGCCAAGCCTCCCAACCAACAGCCAACAGCAATCCTGGCACACAGTGCTGGGGTCATGAGGGTGGGGTAGTGGAGGGGCCGGCAGATGGCTAAGTACCTATCATAAGCCATAGCTGTCAGGAGGTAGCACTCAGTTGCTCCAAGAGAGTGAAAGAAGTAGATCTGCAGGAGACAGCCAGAGAATGAAATGGTCTTCTTCTCACTCAGCAAGTTTGCCAGCATCTTGGGGATGGTGGCAGCAGTGTAGCCAAGCTCCAAGAAGGACAGAACACTGACAAAGTGGTACATGGGTGTGTGGAGCCGTGAGTCCAGGCGGACCACCAGGAATATCAGCAGGTTTCCCCATATAGTAGTGAGGTAAATGAGAAGTAGCAAGAGAAAGAGGTAAGTCTGGACACTCTGGAGATGAGGGAAGCCCAAGATGATGAATTCTGTCACCTGGCTCCAGTTCCCTGTGTCCATTGCTCACAATTCAGGTCCCTAGAATATGAAGCATAGACAGGGAAGCAAGCTGAGCTATAAAAGTCCTAACAAGAAGGCAACCCTCAAAGTACTGTTGCTCTCCCTGGCTCACCTCCAGAGTACAGCCCTCCCAGTAAATGCTTTGAGAGGTCAGCATTTCAATCCCATCCCTCCCTGCTGCTCCAGTCAACAGCATGCTTTGGAGTATCTACCTTTACAATTAGACATAAAATGCCTTCCCTGATTAACACAGCTCTTTTGGCCTGCAAAATCCATTCTGTAATGGATTCTATATAGGATTAAATATTCCTCATCCAAGGTGTATGTTATGATTTATACACATTCTTTGTCTAAGGTGAGGAAGGGGAAACAACTTTAAAGATCATCTTATTCAATGTCTCCATTTTGCAAAAAAAAGGAAACTGGGATCCAGAAAGGGAAGATGACTTGTTCAAGGTCACACAGTTAGTTTAAAGCATAGCCAATTTGCTAAGTTTAAACCCAGACTTTAGAACATAGCATTTGGAAAAGAGAATATCTTTTTTTAAAAAAAAAAATTAGTTTCTGTGTTCTGAATGATGTATTTCATCGATGCTCATTATTCAAAACCTCTCTTTAGGTCTGAATGGTCTAGGTCTCTTTCCAGTGCTAATACTAGGAAAGAATGTGAGGATGAAAATGCCTGCCTGACAAGGTCCTTACCCGGAGCTTGATGGTGGGGAGAGTTCTGCCAGAGTTTGGCCCTGGGAGTCTAGCCACTGCTCAGAGTCCGGAGATGAAAGAGAACTCCCTGCTCACTTCTTGCTTCTCATTTGCAGAGTTGAAATTTAGCGCTTCAGTGGAAACTGTGGGAGTAAGTCAAATCATAAAACATTCTCCCATGACCTGGATTCTTTATAGGGTCCTTACAGAGAGAGAAGCCCCTGGGCCTTCTGAGAAGACCTCCTGGGGTCACTAAATTGCTCTCTCAGGAAGGGAACTGACATACAGCAAGTTCCTTAGCCAGTAGTCCTCATTACCTATTGATTCACTACAACAACTACCAGTCCAAATTGGGATTGAATATCTTTCAAGGCAATAATTTTCTTTAATAAAAAACAATTGATATGGGTACTATACGTTCAAATGGGTTCCCCTATTATGTGACTTTGGAGAAAGCATATAGTATGTATAACTTCCAACTATGATAGGACCTTCTAAAATGTGACTGAAATTCTTAGACCCTGAGAGGGTGAGGGCAGGGACAGACTAAGGACATAAATACTGTCCAAAGAAGACTCTTAATCCTGTCCGTTGCTCATCTATAGTAGTTTTATCTTCTCTTACACACTGCAGTTTCTTATTTATTCTAGTGTTATCTCACTTTGAAAAGAGCCCTGCCTCATAATCTTGGACTTAAATCCTAGCAGCTCTTCCAGCTATGAATATTAATGTGACATTAGCCACCTCATAGAGTGTTTGATTCCAGCATTGCCAAAAGGGTGGATTTTAAATGTTCTCACCACAAAGAAGGATTAGTGCTGCATGTGAAGTGATGAATATGGTAATTAGCCTAATTTGATCATTCCACTATGCTTAGATGTATTAAAACATGATATTATACCCCATGAATATATACAACTATTATCAGTTAAAAATAAAAAAGCATAAAGGAAATATTACTTTCCTCATATGAAAGTAATAATCAAATGTGATAATAAATGTGAAAAATGTACTTACGAACTGTAATATGTACTGTGAAAAGATTTAAATATTTTTTCACTTTCCCACTTCCATCCACATCTTCAAGGATTTTCATCCAGGTTTTTCATTCTCTGTCTCTTAATCTCTTCCTTGAAGATTTTCTTTTTTTGAAACTGAGTTGTGAGAGTTTGATTTTTTGTTTGTGGTGTATAGATTTTTGATAATTTAATTTTCAAGTTGGTGCTATTTTTTCCTTCGATTGTTATAGATAGATTTTAACTAATAGTTTTATTTACTTAATGACTGTAGGTTTATTCAGGTTTTCTAAATCTCTATAAGATAGTTATGAGCTAAATGACCACTACCTTTTTAATTAAATTTTCCACCTCTCTCTATTTCATTTTCAATCACTTCTTTTCTGTGGACTAGAATACTCTCTATCCTTAGAAGATCTCCACCAGTTCTGCTATTTCCCCTCCAATCGATATCCTATTTCTACTTGCATAGGGGTAAATGTTAATAGCTGGCTTTTCCCTAACAAAGATTCTCTCCCTGATGAAACTCTAGCCAGGCTCCTCTGAGCTAGGCTCCAACTTGGGAGGCTTTGGGCAACTACTTTGGGGGTCCTGAGGGAAGGACAGAGAAAGCTTCAGGGTCCCTGAGCCAATGGAACCAAACTCCACCCACATGACTTGGCATCCACTTGGTCCCCAAGCCTGTGGAAGAGCCTGCCACTTGCTTGTCCCCAACTCAGCTTTCCAGGCCCCAACTGCCTCCTCCCTGCTGGGCCCTGACCCCGCCCTCCAGGTCAGATCAGCCCCACCACCCTCACAGCCCTACTTTTGGCTCAGAGGCCCCGCTCAGAAGGCCTGCTTCAGGCTCCTCCCTAGCCCCAGCTCTGAGGCTCTCAAGCTGGATCCTGAGTGTCTATCTCTGTGCCTCCCGGGCCCCCACCAGGTCTGGGAGATCATCCCCAAGATTACAGCACTGCACCTGGACCCCAAGATCTCGCCCCAGAGCCTCCACCACTGCCACAGGGCCAGAAGGAAAAACTATTCAAAAGTCCAATACCCTGACAGGGACCACCTCCAGCCTTCAGCCACCAGTATACTGTGTCCTGGTTCCCACAACCCAGGAACCCATGACAACTGCCTAGATAGTGTAATACTTATGCACTGTTGGTGGGACTACAAATTAGTACAATCTCTATGGAAAACAGTATGGAGATTCCTCAAAGAACTAAAAGTAAACCTACCATTTGATCCAGCAATTCCACTGCTAGGTATCTACCCAAAGGAAAAGAAGTCATTTTATCAAAAAGACACCTACCCGCACTCGAATGTTTATTGTGGCACAATTCACAACTGCAAAGATGTGGAATCAACCCAAGTGCCCGTCAATTCATGAGTAGATTAACAAAATGTGGTATATGTATGCCATGGAGTACTATTTAGCCATAAAAAGGGTGAATGAATGCCTTTTGCAGTAATTTCGAAGGAACTGGAGACCATTATCCTAAGCAAAGTATCTTAAGAATGGAAAAAGAAACACCACACCACATGTACTTTATAATAAATTGGAACTAATTGCTGGGCACAGAAATACAGAAAGGGAAGTGAAACTCAGTGGAAATCAAATAGGGGAAGAGGCAGGAGGGGAAGGGCAAAAACCCACCTAATGTGTACAATAAACACTATTCAGGTGATAGACACTTTTATAGCCAGGACTCAAGCCATGTATCAAAAACATCTGTACCTCTTTAATATTTTGAAATAAAAAATAAAATAAATGGATGGAAGAAGATATACCATGCAAGCTCTAATAAAAAGTTACAATAGCTAAATTAATATAAACCAGTGATTTCAGAAAAGAGAAATATTATCAGAGATTTTGTAAATAGTATGTACAAAGATGAAAGGGTCCATTCACCCAGGAGACATAACAATCCTGAATATGTAAGCAACTAACAACAGAGCCTAGAAACTTCAACCCATTTGACTCATATACAAAAATATGTAGAGAGAAATGGACACAGAAATAGGAAGGAAGAGGAAATAAAATGTAAGTAAAGAAATACTGGGATATTCTCACTCACATATGAGGCTGATGACTTCTGTCCTCTTTGTTCCATGGAGATGTAAAAGTTACATATGTGTGTGCACGGGGGTATATATGTAATTTTTACAACTCCATGTATATGTAAACAGTACACATGAAAAATAGTTTCAAATATTCTACTAATCTGTCTGCATGGCTAAGTCTTATATTTGAAATAATTGTTTGATTATTCAGAAAAGTTTACAGATACTCCAGAAATCTTCGACAATTGTGGGAAATTTATTACTCAGAATAAAACTCTCATTTTTTTATGACAAATTGTTAGACTTGGATTCAAGAGCCACAAAGGACATACAGGAAAATAAAGGGTTACATGGAATCTTAGAACTGTATAATGTTAGCAATGAACATCATCTAAAGATAGCTTACTTACCCACCGCAGTTTGTGAATAAAGAAATACAGATCCAGAAAAGATAACCTAGTCTGACACACCATTAATGGCTAAGGACTAGTTATCAGTATTATCAAAGATATTCAAAAGGGATTTACAATTTGGGACAAATTGAGGCTAGTTGTGTAGAAGACAGAGGTGAATGCCACTAGGGTAGACCAATGCACTCTATGAAGAGTGGGTTCCAGTAGTGATTAGAATCAGGATGGCATTGTTAAATATCAATTAACAAGAGTGGGTAAGATTCATTGCATTTTTTATTCATCATACTTTTATCGAATAATCACTATGTTTAGACATCATGCTAGATTTGGACATACAGCAAGTAACAAAACTGAAATAATTCCAGATCAAAGGTAGTTTATAGACTTGTAGGAAAGAATGACAAACTGTATCTATATATATATATACCTATATCTACATATACAAAAATATGCATACACATGTAAATTATTATACATATTTTGAAGGGAAGTAAAACATAATTTCAAAGACAAGCACAAGTAACATAAATTAGGTTGCGTGTTCAGAAATCCTATCAAAGTTTGCATCACTTGAAAGTGATATTTGAACAGAGATTCATGCAATTATAAGGAGTGAACCAAATGAAATGTTGGGGGAAAAAAGGATGAAGGTCCTGAAACCGGAAAAATCTTAAATGTATTTGAAGAACTCAAAGGGAGATCATGTGGCTAGGAAGAGTGCGCTGAGGGAGAAGAGGTACCAGTAAATATCGGAGAGGAAGGCAGGGAAGAATTTTGTTTAGCCTTATAAAGTGTGGTGAGGCTTTGGATTTTATTTTAAATGCAATTGGGAACCAT